CCGATGTCTAACTCTGAAATTACTGGGTTACTTGTAATTTTATTTATTAATCCAAACTTTTGCCAGAAGTCGATACCTAAGTATACTTCTTCTTTAAGGTCGGGTATTATAAATAATTCAAGAGTGTCTATCTTATCTCCATATTTAATAGAGGTAGTAAGTTTTGACACAACCTTACTTTTCGTTCCGTTTGCGGTTTTGATTACTCCAAAACATTTCTTTGCGTTTTTGTGTTTGAGTAGGTTCTGAGCAGCTAAGCCTCCTAAACAACTAATAGATGCTCCAGAATCTAATAATGCTTTATAAATATGTCCTTCTATCGGAATATCCGTATATAGTCTTTGATCAGAACTAAGAACTATTGCCGAAATTAGTTTTTGTCGATCCTGACGAACTTTCTTCCAAAACTCTCTTAATCTTATAGTAGATCGTTTGGGTTTTAAAAGTGTCCCAATACTTTCTTTATTATTAAATATTTCCTTACGCTTATTTAAGTAATTTTGTATCCTTATGTGTAAAGGTGTGAATGAAAAATGAATCTCAGATTGACTTAATTTACTTGTCTCTTGCAATTCATTAGTTTTAATGGTTAAATTCGGATTTGCAACTTCTGGTTCTAAGGATGTATCTCTTTGTTGCTCTGAAAAACATCCTGCTGTCGGTTTCCCGGATTACACTTCGGACAAGTGGGCTTGTATTTTTCTTTAAGGCCGCAACCGTAGCAAAATATCGTTCGTTTAGCCATACAATCGTCAAATCTATGGCCTTGCTTGTCACAGTTCCAACAAGTTGGAATATTTCGACGCTGAATTTGATTTATTTCTTCATCTAATTCCTTTAACCCTGTCTCCTCGTTCTCGGTAGTTAACTCTGCCACGTATGAGCGAAAAGGTTTTGGTTTGAATGTTTTAAGATTGTTATAGAATTGTTCGTGCCTACGTACTTCGTATCGGAGCTGTGCTCTATTTAGGATTTTAAGATGCAATAACTCGTGTTGTAGACTAGGTTTCGCATTCCTTACTAACAATTCAACTAACTGTGCTTCGGAAACTCCGTTCTGAAGTCTATCTAGCAATCTTTCCATGTTTTCTTGAAAATCTTCAAAAGCTTCGTTTTCCCCTTGTTTGCGTTTGCGGATTGCTTCCCAAATGTCATAGTCTGTCTCAATATCTCCAAATCTATTCCTGAATTCGCCACAAAACGTATTCCAATCGAAATTGTAATTGTTTCGATGAAACTTCCAATACCAATCGCTTGCTTTTCCTGCGAATAAGAGGTATAAATGGTCACATAGAAGACCGAAATCATTACCTAGATTTTGTTTGGTAAGTGAACATATCCTGTAAAGAAATTCGTCCATCCGGATGCTTGATTTGCTGCGGTCGAACTTCAAACCCCATTTTTGAATAATTCCTGATACTTTTTCTGGGCTTACAAAAGAGTTTGGATTGCTCCTGTTTATGCCTATTTCTTCTACATTATTACCTGAATGATTTTGAGAATAACGGTTTTGATTAGAATCATTCCTACTACGATCTCCATTTGAGTGAATATTCTCGTGTGTGGAATTTGTGTGAGTGGTTTGTGGTAATTGTAAGTTGTCCAATTGAGTTTTAATGGATGACTCTATGGTCTTCCCTATGTAAGAGGTGAGTTGCTCCATTAGCTGAGCCTGCTGTTGGCTAACAGTCAATTGTACATAATTCATCATTTCTGTCTGAGTATTAAAAGTCATACCGGAAGTTGTTGGTGGTTCTGATAATAGCCTATCCAAATTTCCTCTGTATGTGTTTCTGGTTGTCATTCCCCTTCTTGGAGGTGTACCTCGGACTCTGCCTGATCTGGTATTTCTTCTAGATGTATAATTATCATTATTGTCCTGATACTCGCTTACGCTAGATGTGCCTGCTACTGCGGCATTTAATTCGGCGAATAGTGAATTATTGGAATATGATAAATTTGTTTCGTTGCAATCTGCATTGCAAGTGGGACATGTTTGTGTACTTTTTATGTGGTTAATAATACACTGCTTATGAAATGAATGTCTGCAAGGTGCTGTTGCAGATAAAATAGTTGGTGTAAATATTTCTTTACATATAGCGCAGCTGTTTTCGATGCCTTGTGGCATGTCAACTGCATTGTCCGAACTATGCTTGGCTGCCATACTCTAGATATTAAATTATAATTAGTTTTGAATTTTGGTTTGTCTTTCTTTATGTCGATCCTCCTCCTGTCAGAAAATCTAAGTTCAATCTATTATTACTAGTGATTGTATTTTGTCTATTGCCTTATGCTCTTGTTAACTAGACGATCGGACAAGATACCAACTTATTAAAGTTTCGGTATAGTGTGTTCCAAGAAGGTCGGATTGTATACAAGGTTGAATTAAATGACGTATGGTGATAAGCTTCTGTGGAATTGAAACAGCTGCCTTTGGTCGATCAATTCTCTTTCAAATTGAATCGCATATTCCTAAATTGCACTGTATCTTCCAATCGATGCTCTCAATCCAATATGTCAATTTATTGAATTTAATTTTATTGTTTCCCTAAGGTGGATGGTTAAATATAGAGCTTCGTGTGCTAAACAGATATACAATCTGATTGGCTTCACGTTTGGGCGCCAAAATGTGTAGTGTACCTCGTGTTGTAAGGGTTGTTCCCAGTCGGTCTTCTTATAGAGGGTGTTGTTTACTATTAAGAGAGGACCTTGTAATTCCTTCGCTAGGGATGCGCACTCTCGCTATGCTCGGGTCTAGCTCGCCGTGGTCGGGGTTCTTCCTAGCTTAGGATATTACGACACGCTACTACATTTAATTAGTGCGTCTTACACAACAAAAACCTACTCGAAAAGAATCGATAAAGAAAAGGATGGATCAAGGTGATACTCTGGTTTCACGCCGACTCGTGTATAGTTGAGTAAAGATATTCTGACGGATATCGGGAATTCAGATGGTAATTATTCCCGATAGTCTTTACCCTCCCTACCGTGACAATGGTACGTGTAATTTGGCATTGTCCCTTGGCCGAGCCTCAAAATCTCTACCACATATTTAACTGAGTGTTCGACATAAGTACTCGACAAACCGTATGACCTTTTTATTCAAAATTCATGTTCTTCAACTTCAATTTCATTTACTAATCCATTTACCTAAATTTAGTTGCTTCATTTACAATCTATTTAATTTAACCTATCGTCCATTATCCCTAACTATGGCCTAATTTCTACATCTAATCATAATCATTAACAATATAAGTATTTACTATTGATTAAGGCATGATTATTATTTAAGCTTAATTTTACAAGGTTTTACTTAGATTTTACCGCAAAATATAGGTTCAAAATAGGGACAGTAGAGCGGCATTTCATATAGATTGATATTAGGTAATTATTGCTGTTGTTATTTATTACTCACGACCTTTTATTTCATCACTCCTTGATACGTTGTAAAGTTGGGCCCAAGTTCACGTTGGCGTTGAGAGCTGCTGGTCAAAAAAAATGAAAATAACCCTAATCTTCTACGTGAATGCCACACTCATGTCCATCTGCGGGGTATTTGCTTATTAATAAATTGCCAAAATAATCAAATAAAATAAACAAAATCAGAATCAAAACAAAAACATTGCTGCACGCAGCGTATACTGCGCCCTGAGATGTGCAGAACCACTAAACTGGGTCTTCGGCCAGATGAGGGTTTTTCCGCCGCCTCGCGGTGATAATGGTCAAGTGGTGAGGCGATGCATCCGATCTACGTCGAATCTCTCACATGGCTTGTTTCGTGGAGCACTCCGGTCCTCTACTTGATTGCCCAGTGCGCATCTGCCATGCGGCAGGTTGCGTAACCGGACGGCTGGAGGTTAAGTCTCCTTTTGGCCGCTGTCTATGGATCGTAGGACCCAAAATTGAGCCGAAAATATCCACTTGGAATTGGAATTGGCTCGAATAAAATGTTCACGAGCAGAGAAGGTGCTGTCGTCGGGGACTCTGCCACCGATACGCCTTCGAAGCTGAGCCCTACGAAATCTGTATTATTATTGGGACTCACAACACGGCACTTATTTACCTTCTATTCCCGCACAAATTCACACAAAAAACTGCCTTTGATAATCACGGCTTTTCTCAATATAACAATTTAAATGATAGTAACTTTGAGACACGTGTGGTCTCCAATTAATATTTGGACGACGTCTTATTAACACAAGCGTTCGTCAAGAGAGATAAGAGAGTATTGATTTGGGCTTTGGGAAGCTGCAAGCGAGTAAGCTGCAGTTTGGGAGCTTATCTTATCTAACTGTGCAATCATACGATCTTAATCTAATGTGATTGGTCTTCAAACGCTTTTTAGCTATTATTGATTTATTGATAGTGGAAAAGCTCTTATCATTTGAGTGCGAGGGTGGGTTGAATAGTTGTGCATTGCTTAAAGCTCTGCTGGACACTACAACTGGTAAAGATGCTTTATATCAATAGCTATCGCTGCATATTAATTTTAACACCTTATATAAATTATTTATATTTATTATAATAATATTTTCAGGTATTCAATTAAAGTTTTACATTCACATTTTCCTATATATCTAACGATCGTTTGTATAGCAGCTAAATGATATAGATCTCAGATTTTTATAAAATTAAAACCAAAACTCTAGAATAATACAAAATTACTATATCCCAAATGTATACAAGTGAGAGTATAGAAAAACTAACTGCAAAGTTTTATTAAGACTTGTTTTTTTGGGCCAAAGATTACCTTAAACCGTAGAACTATGCTAAGCATTATCTTTAAACCCTGTTCCGTGGCGACGTCTACTGATTTGTTAGGGCCGCTAAATTCTCAATTTTCTCTTTTTATATTGTTTTTTCTGTTGATCATCTATTAAGTTCTTAAGAACAGGGTATTGCCACTTTGTAGCATGCAATTCGCTATTTACATTTACATTTACATTTACATTTACATTTATATTGACAGTCAGTCTAAATTTTACCTTCTTGATTTCCAGATACATCAGCAAATCAAAAGACCTCAAGTAAATGGATTAGTGGGCAAGATTACTACAGATTAGATGGAAAAACCCCAAAAAATATTCGACATGAAATGATACAACGGTTTAACAGTGAAAACAACAGACGAGCTCGTGTCTTTTTAATATCGTCCAGGGCTGGAGGTCAAGGCATTAATTTAATTGGTGCAAACAGAGTTATCATTTTAGATACTTCTTGGAACCCTTCGAATGACCAACAAAACATTTTTCGAATATTTCGGTTGGGTCAAAAAAAAAATTGTTATGTATATCGCTTAATCGCAATGGTAAGTATGATAATATCAATATTTAAATATTCAAAATTTAATTTTGTATTTGCTGGGTATTATAATTTTATCTAGTAGAATGCTAATCATGGGCCAGGATAAAAACAAAGCCGGGCCAGGGTCCTCCACAGAAACATTTCTGATTGCGTGGACAGGCAGGATAGTTGGCCAAAGAGGCCGAGATTTGGATCAGAATAGGTGGGAAAGAGAGATAATCCGTACAGGCCTCCAGCTGGCCAGAGTCGTCCCGTCACCCGGGTACCGGGTACGGCGGTCCAGCCGACAACCGTGTTCTGATTGGCTACGGGCACAGCCCCGTCACCCGGTGCGTGCGCTTCACCCTAGGAGGGAGGACTCGATCGGGTTAAGGTTAAGCCGGCCCCGGTTCCGGGTACCAGGCGCTCCCCAACCCTACTACGGTGCTGCCTGTGTCTCTGACCCCGTCACCCGGGTAGCGGATCCGTCGGACCCACTTAGGAAGAATACCTCCGGGACATATGCGCGTCGGCCACGTCACCCGTGTCACACTTGTTACACCCAGGGGGAATCCTGACAGGGTGCGGCCACCGATCCAGGAAAGGAGAGGGAAAGGGGGAAACGGTGTGGGAACCTTAACAAGAAAGTAGCCGACAAATACCCGCACTTTACATATATTAAATATATTTATTTCCTTTTCTATTTTACTAACGTAGTCCTATCGTCCCTAAACCTTCCCCACGCCAATGGGGTTCCTGCGAGGGGATGGGCACCGAGGCCCAGCTCACCAACTTCTTTCCGTCGGTCCTCATGGGGCCCTTGGGTAGCGTCTTCCGGGCGGCGTCGTCCTGCGAGTCCTTTCTCTTGGACGTTGATGCACTATGGTCAGAACATTCAAGTGGCCCAAATGACATCAGGCACGTGCCTGTTTGGGTTAGGTGTTAGTAGGCGCGATGGAAAATATAGGACAGAATACGAGGAAAATTGACTACCGGCGTGCTGCCAGATTGTTAGCTTGCATGTTTACTAAGTGTATTAGTATTAAAGATTTTAATTTGGGAAGGGTATCTATGTTAGAGATTAATGTGTACAAATCATTATAATTTGCACATAGCACTCTAAAAGGTTCATGCAGTTCAAAGGAGGTTCTACAGTGGCGCACCACTAATGGGATATAGGATCTAGTAGTTCTACATGGCACATGGATATTAAGCTGACTCAACAAGTCAGCACTTTCCACATCACCGTGGATAAGGTTAAAAATAAATGTTATCCCTAGCATCGTTCTACGATTGGCTAAGGACGGCAAGTTTATTAATAGGAGTCTACTAGAGTAGGAAGGTAATCTTTGGTTTGCATCCCAATTTAAACCGCGTAGAGCTAAAAGTAAAAAGTTCTTTTGAACCGACTCAATGCGTTTACTATGGACGCCGTACTGAGGGCTCCAAACGCAGCATCCATATTCTAAGATACCACGAACTAAGGAAGTATATAAGGATTTAGTAACATAGGGGTCATTGAATTCCTTCAACAGAATTAATTCTTTCCAAAGAGCAGCAGTTCAACGTGTAAGTAGCAAGCTTAGGAACGACACGAGAGAATGTCATTAGCTTGCATTTCTAGCCATTTAAGTTTAGTAAGTTTACACGGAACCAAGTTTGAAAATTATTAAGATCTGTTTTTAAGTCCGACTGGCAGGCAACGTCATTGTATTGCACTGGTCTTGTATTGGGCTGGTCATTTATAAATAATGTAAACAATAAGGGTCCCAAATAACTTCCTTGCGGGACGCCAGATGTGACCCTTAGAACATTGGATAAATTATTCTTAAAGAGGACCTTTTGCGTCCTGCCATTCAAATAACTTGAGATCCAATTAAGAAGATCACTTGGAAAACCCATTAAATCGAGTTTTCAAACAAGGAGAGAATGTTTAACAGAGTCAAATGCTTTACTGAAATCAGTATAGATTACATCTGTCTGACAATTATTATGGAAGCCCATTATAATATAGGAAGAGAGCTCTAAAAGATTTGTTGTTGTTGACCTTCGCTAAATAAAACCATGTTAACATGGAGAAATAACTGATCTACAAAGGTGCTGTAAGTGAGGGGTGATAATGTTTTCAAATAACTTAGGGATGGCCGACAACTTAGAGATTCCTCTATAATTGCTGGCATCCAATTTGCTACCTTTTTGTGGAGAGGAATAATAAACGATTCCTTCCAAATAATGGGAAAGTGGGTGGGTTTTTAAGGACAAGGTAAACAATTTCAGAAGGGGAAAGCACAGGGCGTCGGCACAATAGCACACAGCCAGGAATTTCGTTGGGACCTGGCGAATAAACTGGCTTGACACGATGAAGATCTAAAAGGAGAGAGCTTTCGGTTAGGCTAGGACAGAAAATTAAGTTTGATTTAGGTATGTCTTAGGAATACGTCTGGTGTAAGTTCGAAGAGTTTGAATAAGTTGTTTGAAAAAACTGCGAAAATAAATCGGCTATTGCCTGATCATTATTTGCGGAAGTATTTTCAAATGAAAGCGAGGAAGGATTTGTTTTAGACTTACGTTTAGTGTTAACAAAATTATAAAACTGTTTTGGGTCCAGTGAGAACTGTGCCCTACAACGAGTTAAATAGTTTTTATAATACTGCGCGTTCAGCTCGGTAAAGTTTGACCGAGCTGATAAATAAGATGAAATGGAAGATTGAGAACCGGTGAATTAAAATTTTGCATACTGTCTAGATTTTTTATTTTTAAGTCGGCTCAACTCTTTAGTAAACCACGGCGGTTTATTCGAGCTTGGCGGATAATATAACGGAACACATTCAGTAGAAATGAATTCATGGCACTGTAAAAAATATCCACGGCAACTGCCATGTCAATGCACATGTATAGATCGGACCAATTGAAATCGTTTACTAAATTATTCAGCCGTTCAAAGTCCGTCTTGCGAAAACATAGGACTTCATTGGCTAGACGGTCAGAAATATTCTGTACGTCACACCCGATATCAAGGGTCACATCGAAAGTTGGATGATAAGGATCTTCGGGCTGCGTCAGAGGCGCCACTCTTGCTAAACTGACTCTCGCAGGGTCAGAGACGAAGCAAAGATCGAGCAAGCGCTGTAAGGATGACTTGAGACAGCGAAATGTCGAACGAGCCAGCGATAAAGTCATGTTGTGTAGGTGTATGGAGAGTATTGGTGGAATTATTTGAGCACCAGGGATATTAAAATCTCCTAGGACTACCAACTGGTCTCTATCCAAAAGTCTACTGAAAACCATCTGATTAGCGGAAAGGTGATTCCAATAAATAGGAAGTGGAGGTATGTAGAAACAGGTAATAAAAATGGAGACACCTTTGATAGATAGCTCCACACAGAGGAATTCAACATCGTTGCATTCCTCGAAGGTTAATAATTCTGACGTGAGTGAGGAGTCCACCGCTATAAGTACTCCACCCCCGCGTCTGATGGGGCGATCTAGCCGATATACTGTGAACACAGCTGGAAAAACTTCGAAGCTCAGAATCTCCGGCTTTAACGAGATTTCTGTGAACACAATAACCTGAGATGCAAACGAAAGGCTATCAGAATACAAGTTTGGAAGCTTACTACGTAAGCCTCTTGTATTCTGATAGGAAATACCTATGGAGTAGGTTAGTTTTTTGGGTCGGGATTGGAAGACGTAGAAGACGCAGTGGTATGATCAGGCCTGGGAAGAGTTATTCCTACAGGCCGCTTTTTCTTTTTCTTCGCCTCGAACTCCTTAACAACGATGTACTTTGGCCAAAAGTTGGGAGAGCAAATAGTGTTAAAGAGCTCGTTAGGTACATTTATTTTGAAAGATGAAATGTCCCTAGCGTAAGAAAATTTAAACTTTTCCAGCTTTATCTTAATTTTTCGGCTCTGGTTTTGCCTTGTATAAAGGCGAGAAAATCTTCCGATGTTTGGTCAGGGGAGAGCCGCGAGACAAAAATATGTCTCGTCGGTTGAACCGCTATAAGGGCTTTTGGCAAGGCAGGTTGGTTATCTGCCGTGCCATTGTCGGCCGGTATTCCGGGCCTAACACCCTGGGCAGATATATCATTAATCACGGGACTTTGAGGGGTCAATATTTGCGACCCCCCAGGGGACAAAACAGAAATCACCGGCGGTACGGGCACTCCCGTTGCACATTTGGGTACCGAATGTTTTCTAGCGCTCGATCTCAGCACTCTTGGAATTAATGCTGAGGTCGAGGGCTGTGCCGAGGGAGGCTGCTGCTGAAAACCCGTTGCAGGTAGTTGTAGTCTACATGCTGCCCACAAATAGCAGTTTTATTGTGCCTAGGAGATTCATTTAATAGCGTAAGGCTGTTAAATTGGGTGTCCAGCGCCAAGAACATATCAAGAGTTTAAAAAAAAAACTCGTTAAAATGCCCTTAAAACCGCTTTTGGCTTGCCGCATGAAAGACATCATCTACATCGCGACAGGCCTCACAAAAGTAACGCAGGCAGATTTTTTTTTACATCGTCCACCGTCCGAGCTGCAACTCCAATACACTTGGCGTGCATGAAGTTGTCGCACAGCCAGCAGCCGATTGTAAGGTTACCTGCAGCAATTGCCCTTTTGCAGGTTTTGACGAAACAGACAATATTTACGGACATTATAAGGACTTACCATTTTTCTTGTTCTTGAAAAAAAATGAGAAAAAAATCAACAGAGCTATGAAGATAAGAAGTGAAGAGTCACACCAAGAGCGAGAGAGCGGGAGAGCGTGAGAGATCAGAGTAGACAAAAAGTGCAGCGGCACAGCGAAAGCGAGAGAGTGACCGAAGACCGATCCTCGAGGCACGTCCGTACTCGTTTCCCACCGAACACCGACTCCCCGAGGCACGTCCGTCCTCCTGGTCGCCCGAAAACCGACTCCTTGTCGGCTGGCAGAGAAGCCCTCGGCCGCTTTCCTCTGCCGCGGATTCCTTCGCAGCTCCGACGTTCTTGCCCTTGGCTGACACGAAGCGTATCGTGCCGGCGTCGGGCTTCAGTTTCTTTCAAAGATCTCGCGTGGTGGCGTAACGCTCGTGGCTTTTTACGCAGCCGAGGCTCGCTCGGCTGTCTACACGTACTGCTGTCGCCCCTTCTCTTCGAGGCGTCTCTCGTCGGCGACCGGCTGCTTCTGCCCATGTTGTTATAGTGGCTCTGCTGGGCCCCTACCCAGGGTTGGCGCTGTCGCGGCTCTGCTTGCACTGCTATGCCGTGTGACTATGACTATGCCGTGTGTATGGCTATGCCATTTGTAGTTAGTCTTCTATATACTCTCACTCGTATATATGCCGGATCGGATGACTATATCATATAGTTGCCATAAGAATGATCGGAAAATGTTTTAAAAAAAAATTATAACATTCTCAGTTTTTAATAGAATTTAATCAAATTTTAGATATAGCCATTTTATATTAGTCTTAAATTATGTTAATTTTAATTTTAATTTCAAAATTGGACGTTTAACATATGTATATCATGTACAAAGGATCGTTATTAGAAGTAGATTAGAAGCAAATTTGTGAATGCAAAACTGTAAATATACAGGGTGCGGCACGAAAACTTGGTGATACACACCTTCTGATGTTTTTATACACAGTTTTTGAAATTAAATCGGACAAATGATGGCCACCGTTTTCAATGCACTGAGATACCCGATTTTCGAAGCTCAGCTAAACTCTCTCAAGCATATCGACGGGTATCTTTGCGATTGCTTGCCGAATGTTATTCTCCGACTCGATGCGTTTGCTATGGACGCCGTACTGAGTGAGATAGGACGAACTAAAGAAGTATATAAGGATAGACGAAATATGATCAATAATGTCAAGTTTTGGGTCCAAGCGGACGCCCAAATCATCAACAGAATTAATTCTTTCCAAAGAGCAGCAGTTCAGCGTGTTGGTAGCAAGCTTAGGAACGACACGAGAGAATGTCATTAGCTTGCATTTCAAGCCATTTAAGTTTAGTAAGTTTACACGGAACCAAGTTTGAAAATTATTAAGATTTGTTTTTAAGTTCAACTGGCAGGCAACGTCATTGTATTGCACGCAAAGCTTGACGTCATCCGCGTACATAAGCACTCTAGAGTTAGTCAAGACTTTGGGCTGGTCATTTATAAATAATGTAAACAATAAGGGTCCCAAATAACTTCCTTGCGGGACGCCAGATTTGACCCTTAGAAAATTGGATAAATTATTCTTAAAGAGGACCTTTTGCGTCCTGCCATTCAAATAACTTGAGATCCAATTAAGAAGATCACTTGGAAAACCCATTAAATCGAGTTTCCTAACAAGGAGAGAATGGTTAAGAGAGTCAAATGCTTTACTGAAATCAGTATAGATTACATTTGTCTGACAATTATTATGGAAGCCCATTATAATATAGGAAGAGAGCTCCAAAAGATTTGTTGTTGTTGATCTTCGCTTAATAAAACCTTGTTGACTTGGAGAATTAACTGATCTGATAGCCGACAACTTGAAGATTCCTCTATAGTTGCTGGCATCCAATTTGCTACCTTTTTTGTGGAATAATAAACGATTCCTTCCAAATAATGGAAAAGTGGGTGGGTTTCTATGGACAAGGTAAACAATTTCAGAAGGGGCATCGGCATAATACCTGAGCACACAGCCTCAGACCCAATATCAAGAGTCAGATCGAAAGTGATCTTCGTGTTGCGACAGGGGCGCCACCCTGGCTAAACTGACTCTCGCCAGATCAGAGACGAAACAAAGATCAATCAAGCCCTGAAAGGAATTTCGTACATGGTTGATTTAAAACAGCAAAATGTCAAACAAGCCAGCGAGAAAGTCATGTTGTGTAAAAGTTGGGAGATTATTGTTGGAATTATTTGAGCACCAAATAGCCCCAGCGATATTAATATTACGTAAAACTACTTCTATCCAAAAGTCTACTGGAAATCATCTGAATAGCGGAAAGGTGGTTCCAATAACTAGGAAGTTCCGACAATGAGGTATGTAGGTATGTAATAAAAATGGAGCTACCTTTGATAGATAGCTTCACACAAAGGAATTCAACATCGTTGCATTCCTCGAAGGTTAATAATTTTGACGTGAGTGAGGAGTCCACTGCTATAAGAACTCCACCCCCGCGCCTGATATGGCGATCTAGCCGATATACTGTGAACACAGCTGGAAAAACATCGGAGCTCAGAATCCCTGGCTTTAGAGAGGCTCTGTGATTACAGTAATCTGAGAAGCAAAAGAAAGGCTATCAGAATACAAGTTAGGAAGCCTACTACGTAAGCCTCTTGCCTCTTGCCTCTTGGGTTAGTATAACTTTTACAGTTTTTAACAGATTTTTATAAAATTTGAGATATTAGGGTTTCATATTATTCTACAATTTTGTGAAAATCGGACTACTATATCATATAGATCCCATAGGAACGATCGAGAAATTAATACTATTAAAAATTATAACTTTTCCTGTTTTTAGCAGATTTTCATTAAATTTGAGATATAGCCAGTTTATATCAGTCATAAATTTTGTGTCAAATTTTATGAAAATCGGACGACTATATCAGATAGGTGCCATACAAACGATCGTTAGATGTGAAGGAAAAATTAAATTCTGTGAATGCAAAACTGTAAATATAATATGTATAGGTGAATGAAATGAAAGCAGGTATTACTTCATTGTTTTTTAACATAAATATTTATATTGTATGGATTCCTAGTCATCGAAGCTCTATCTGCAAGGGAATATAAACTTCGGCGTGCCGAAGTTAGCTTTCTTTCTTTTTCAATATAATACATTTTTTATTTTAGAATTTTAATACATTTTATAAAAATCTGAAATATATTATCAATACAGACATAACTTCCTTTTTTTCAAGACAAGCTCTTGAAATATGTATGTTATTTGTTTTAATATTTTTGTGTGTTATGTTGTTTTTATACCCTTGCAGGGTATTATAATTTCAGTCAGAAGTTTGCAACGCAGTGAAGAAGGCACCTCCGACTATATAAAGTATATATATTCTTGATCAGGACCAACAGCCGAGTCGATCTAGCCATGTCCGTCTCTCTTTCTGTCCGTCTGTCCGTTTCTTCGCAAACTAGTCTCTCAGTTTTGAAGCTATCTGAATGAAACTTTGCAGTTAGTCTTCTATATACACTCACTCGTATATATGTCGGAACGGGCCGGATCGGACTACTATATCATATAGCTGCCATAGGAATGATCGGAAAATTTTTACAAAAAAAATTATAACATTTTCAGTTTCCAACAGATTTTCATCAAATTTGAGATTTAGCCGTTTCATATTATTCAACAATTTTGTGTAAAATTTTATGAAAATCGGAAAAATATATCATGTAGCTCCCATAGGAACGATCGAGAAATTTGAGAGGAATGAGAATGGCGGTGGCTGTTGTCGGAAGACTGACAATCGCGGTGGCGATAACATTTTTAGTTTTCAAAAGAACTTAATCAAATTTAAGATATAGTTTCATATTATTCTACAATTTTGTGTAAAATTTTATGAAAATTGGACGACTATATCATATAGCTCCTATAGGAACGATAGAGAAATTAATTTAAATTATTTTATTCTACAATTTTTTGTAGTTATAAAGAAGCTGGACTACTATGTATATCACATAGCTGACATAGGAACGATCAAAAAATGAATTCAATTAAAAATTTAAACGTTTTCAGTTTTCAGCAGATTTTCATTAAATTTGAGATATAGCCATTTTATATTAGTCTTAAATTTTGTGTCAAATTTTATGAAAATCGGACGACTATATCACATAGGTGCCATACAAAAGATCGTTAGATGTGGAGCAAAAATGCAAATCTGTGAATGTAAAACTGAAAATATAATATGTATAGGTGAATGAAATGAGAGCAGGTATTACTTCATTGTTTTTTAACACAAATATATATAATTTATATTGTATGGATTCCTAGTCATCGAAGTTCTATCTGCAAGGGTATATAAACTTCGGTGTGCCGAAGTTAGCTTTCTTTCTTGTTTTTTTTAATTGTGTATTATTACATAACAAGTTTTAAGGGTGTTTTTTTTTATTTCATATACAATGAAATGTTTATCATTTACAGGGCACAATGGAAGAAAAGGTTTATTCCCGATCAGTTACTAAGCAAGCAATGAGTTTCAGAGTTGTCGATGAGCAGCAAATTGACAGACATTATAATATGGCTGAGTTAGCTGAACTTTACACGTGAGTACTATTTAAATTTTGTTTATAATTGTTGAAATTGTTTTATTAGGGTCTAGGGTGGGAATTTTTATATTATAAAATCTAAATGCAGTAAAGATGAAACATCTTTTTATTGACTATATTGCAAATAAGTGTTCTCCAGCCTTATAAAACTGAGCAGAAAATTTGTGTGCTTCATTATTAAAAATTTCTTTTAAAAATTTGTAAGTGTTGGCCGTTTCTAATTAAAATTGGTCAATGCATTTCTCAATTCCCCACAATACCTTCTAAGCCACATGCGCTGAGCTTGCGTTTTTTTTGGTCAGCGATCATGAGAATGCTTATCAAAATGTTTCCTAAGTTGGTAGTTGATTGAAGTCGGGTTGTTCTTCCATCTGTTTACGTTCTGTGGCCACGCCTATTATTAATAGTATGAGGATGATGGCAGATCCATAGCTAACGGATGCTGATATTTTTGTTTTGCTACTTAGATTATCGATCACTTTTATGTTGTTGTTCTATGACCATTTGGAGTAAGGGAACTTCCTCAAGTTCGCTTTTATCTCCTATAAGTTGGGGGTTCTGGTTCGGCTATGTTGATTTCTCTTGACTTGAACGTGACTTTCGCCGATAGTAACCGTTGAGTTACGGTATAGTATGATAAAGGAGCCTTGTAGTTTAGCTGCGGTTTGCCTTTTAATAGTGGTGTTTTTATACTCTGCTACTTTCTCTGTTTTGTATCTGGGTGTAAGTTATGATCCTATTCTTTTATCTATTTTGTTTTGTTTTTTTTTCCTGTTTGATTTCTCTCCTTTGTCTTTTATTGGAAATAGGTATACTGAGGGTATTGATTTATTATTTGTCTTGAACTAACATTTAAAGGAAGTCTTCAAATTTCATGCTAGTGTTGTCTTTTTTAAGACACCGTATAATTTCCGTTAGTGTTGACTGGAACCTCTCTATATGGCCGTAACTCATCGACGAATACGGGGCCGTGGTGTGTACTGATATTATAAGTTGGTCCTCTAACATTAAAAATTTGGAGCCGAGCTTAGTGGATTCATTTTGTCTTCATATGCTCTTGACTCTAAGAATTTTACTTGAACAAAGTTAGAGACTATCGATACCTGTTAGCAGCCTATATTTTTCTGCAATGTAAATGTACATTTATATGAATGATTTCTCCTGGGTAATTAGGGATGCGGGTTGATTGGATTTCTCTTTTTGGGGGTTGTCTTATTGTTTCTTTATGAGTTTGACAGTATTCTACTATGGCTTGAATTTTCTTTTGGGCATGCATAAAATAAATAAAAAAAAATTGCATTTGGTTTTCTTTTGCATCTCTATGTGCTCTTTTATATTCTGGGTGAATTTTTATTTTGCTGTAACTCTGAATTCTACTTCATTTTGTGTAAATCCTTTTTTGTATGATTTAGAATATGTTGGTAAATATTTTGTATTTTACCAATAACCTCTTCAGATGTAAAGATTACAATAATTTTTATTCAGTGTATGAGTTTTTTTCTATGATATGCCTCTGGTATATTCGGAATGGAATTTAAAAACTACAAGAATCTGTATCTGTGGTCATTAAATAAAGTTGCTTTTTGAATCCGTTGATAAGCGTTTCTACTGAAAATATGAGGTTTTGTAATGAGCTTTCATCGCTATGAACTAGTTGAATTGATTTCTACGGAAGACCGAGATAACGCATCTGCAATTACGTTAGCAACTCCGGTCTTATACCTTTTCTCTTGGTTATATTCGCCAATCATATCTCTTCAGCATTTCAGCTTTGCGTTATGGTTATTTATGCTATTTAAAAAAATTAATTTTTCAGGTGTATATTACTACTTTTGAATATATGTATAGATAATGCCTTAAACTTTGAAGGGCCCAAACGATTGAGAGCATCTCACTTTCGTTTAAAACAATTTTCTCTTCGGCTTTCGATAGGGTGCGCGAAATGAATGTTATTGGTTTATGGAGGCATCTGTAGTTCTTTTCCGAAAATTGGTTTTGTAAGAGACACAATATTTTTTAAGTTTCTGGAATGGCGATATAAATTCTCAGCCCAAGTTAATAGCAGTTCTGCTTTAATTGGTATTCGATATACGACCCTCTTTCCCTCTTAGGAGAAAGATTACAGGTATTGCTATTATTGCATAGTCTTTGATGAAACATCTGTATTAACCCGTCATGCCTGTCAAGGAACGAAGGTCCTTTAACGTTTTTGGTTTAGGGAATTACGATGATGCAATCTTGGCTGTTATGGTGAAATCCGATACAGGGTAGTTTTGTAGGTTTCCAAGTAACTTAACTTCTCCCAATCCCACAATCGGCCATCCTGAATTTTCATTCGCCCCTGAATGAACTTGGCAGCAGTCGAAGTGACTCTTGGACCTTCTTGATTTCCTTCCTTTATAACTTCATAACGACCGTGGTTGAGCTTTTTGGTAATTTTATACGGACCGAAAAATGTTGCCCGTAGTTTCATTCCTGTGCCATACTGAGTTCACCTTAAGGCTACCAAGTCTCCCACTTTATATTCAGTTTCAACCTTTCTCTTCTCATTAAAGTTTTTCCTGTTCTCCTGCTGCACCTTCTTTATATTTTCCTGTGCTTTCTTTCTAATCTCATCCCTCTCATCATTTAATTGTTCTATTTCGTCTTCTAGAAATTCTTTTACATCGTTTAGTTTATTTCTCATATTCAATCCTGTCAAAATTTTATACGGGCTATACTTAGTGGTTCGAGTTGGAGTATTGTTTATTATTTGTTGAACTCTGTCTACGTGGCGATACAAACATCAGAATGACAATTTTACGTATTCTTTCGATTTGTCCGTTGCCTCTGGGTGAACCTGTTGTGATGTGAAGTAGCTGGATACCTTCGCGATTACAATATTCTATAAACGATCCTGAAGTGAATGCGGTTCCTCTGTCTGTAACCAAAACCCAAACACTGCTGCTTGCTTCTCAAGTGTTTTAATAACGTCTTCTGTTCCGGTTGACTTCGTTGGATAAAGCCAGACAAATTTTGAAAATCCATCCACGACCGATAATATGTGGTTGTATTTTTTCTTCGTGTCGGTTAGTGGACCAACACGATCGATGTGGTAAGTCCCGAGCGGTTCTTGGGCCTTGTCGATCGGCGAAAGCGGTCCTTCCTTTTTTCCGCATTTAGAGTCTATAATTAGGCACTCTACACATCCTTTAATGACTATTTCTACTTTGGCCTGAATTCCTGGAATGTAATAGAATTTCTCCAGTATATCTCTGGTCTTTCTTAATGTTCATCGCAAAAGCTTTGCAATCAGTAACTACTGTGAAACATTTTCCCAACAAATACACTCTCTATTTCTTCAATGCATTTACAATGGCTAACACCTCAAGCTCATAGGAACTGTATTTCTCTTCGCAGGTTTTTTTGCGGCTCATAAATTTTATCGGGTGAAATTGCTGATCGTCTGGATCCTTCTGCATCAAAACGCCGCCAAAGCCCTATTTACTCGCGTCTGTGTGTACTTCCGTTACAGCAAAAACAGTTTGAGTACTGGTGCTGATACCAATAGTTGTTTCAAGTGGTTAAAGGAAGCGATACCCTGCTCAGTCATCACAAGGTTTTTATCGTGCTTCTGGTTTCCTTCCTTCCGAAGCATGTCACTCAAAGGTTTTGCTGGTGAGGCATAGTCTTTGATAAAACATCCCATATATGATGTTAAACCCAAATATCTCTGCAAAGCTTGCCTGCTCTGGGGAATTGGAAAATTAACGACAGCTTTTATTTTCTCGTCAGTTGGAAAAATGGTTCCGTTTTTAATCGCATAACCTCGACTTGCTGACCTCCATCATCCTGTACAAATATTCGATACATGTTTCCTTTGGTTGTTTATGTCTTTGCCTTAGAATCTTTTCTTTTTAATTTCTCGTCAGTTGGAAAAATCGTTCCGTTTTTAATCGCATAACCTCGACTTGCTGATCTCCATCATGCTGTACAAATATTCGATACATGTCTCCTTTGGTTGTTTATGTCTTTGCCTTAGAATCTTATGTATCTTAGCTGAGCATAGTTTTTTACCGAACTCTTCAATTAACGCTTGCCTTAACTCGACCCAACCCCTAATTCCGTTGGTGCTTTTGATATAAAGCTTAGGTGCTCCACTCAAAAGTTGTTTTGCATAAATGAATCTTTGCAAATTATCCCAGCCTACAGTTACTGCAACGTTCTTGAACTCAGACAACCAATGATTAACGTCTTCGTGATCTAAACCAGAGAATGATGAAATACTGTCCTGGACATCGCGTAGGGTGAATCTTGAACTAACATTCAAACTAGCTTCTTGATAGTTGGATGAACCGGAAACACTCACTGCATCTTCATCCGCCTCACCGCCCACATCTATGCCATAGTGATCAAACAATCTATCCTGCAAAGCGCTCTTTCGCTCATTCGTATTCAAACCTAATTCCGTTAATTTTTCTCTTAAAAGAGGCACAGTCAAGCCGAGAATCGTTTTAGCTTCCATGTTGGTACGTAAGCCGATTACAAATAATTAATATTGTAAAATTATAGACCTTAAAAGTTCGAAACAAACAATGCGATTGAATAACACCGGATCTCGCTCACCCACAGCCAGTGGTTATGACTCGTTACCGCCGCTCTTCTCGTCTTCTTCAATGTCGTGGTAGTAAAGCCGTCTAAGCAGCAGCCCCCCTCGGCACAGCCCTCGACTTCAGCATTAACTCCAAGGTTGCTTAGATCCAGCGGTAGAAAAATATCGGTGCTCGAATGTGTCGCGGCAGTGGTTGTACCGCCAAGATATTCGTTTTGCCCCGTGGGGGCCCACAAATTATCCCCCCAAAGACCCGTAAATAACATTACTTCCGCCCAGGGTGTTAGGACCGGAATACCGACCGATATTAGCGCGGCCAATCATTTTGCCTTGATAAAAACTTAATAGCTGTTTGATCTACGAGACAAATTTTTGTTTCACGACGCTCCCCTGATCAAACATCGAA